TTCCTCGGGGCGGTGTTAAACCTGGAAGCGTGGGTTTGCCGGCTGCCCGGCGTGAGGGCTCGGGCCCAGTTTTGAGCAGCGGCCTCAGGGCCACCTCAGCGGGCAGCCCGACCTGCGGCCCGGCCCTCATGGCCGGCTCCCCCATCCCGTGTAAGTCCTTGGAAGCCGGGGCAGAAGGTTAGAGCAAAGCCTGGCCCGAGGGGACCGACTTTTTCCCGTGGCTGTTCGCACTAATCCAGAAACCCCCTTTTAAGTGGAGACGTTGAGTAAAACCGCACCAAAAAAACGTGGAGTTGCCACCAGAATGAGGATCCCGACTCTCGGGGCGGGGGGTGGGGGGGGGAGCCTTGGGGGCTCTTCAGCCTGCGCCTCCTCGCCCACTCGGGCATAGGTTTTAACACGATGTCCGGCAATTTCAGGCAATGCGGTTGGAAACCTCTCTCACATGCAAAGACTCGCATTGGGGGCACCGAAAGTCAGCGTCTACTGGCTGCACGTCTCTAACACCAGATTGACTCTGAAACTGCTCTACCCTGGTAGCACTTGGCTCCTAATTTTGATACTCACCTCACGGTTATCCTGCTGTAACACAGGCGTAACTATGCCGCTTGGGGATCTGTGACTCCGTGGTTTGCTTTACTTTTCTTTCCTGCAACCACAGTTGCAGAACTAGCGTGCCGTAGGTACAACATTACTGTTATTATTGCTGCTGGTATCTTTTGGCAAGCGCTTTCCCAACAGTGCTCTTCCAGGCATCTTATTTTTACTGAATATCCAAGATTTATTAAAAAAAAAAAAAAAACAACAACAAAACCCAAACCACCAAGCACCCAGCATTCAGGGTACCAGAGATCTTTGCAAGCAATTCTTTTGGGCATCATGGACCCCTGTGATAATTCAGGTCTGCTGATGTAAAAGTCCCATCCCTACTACATAGCTGCCACTCTCCCATCACTAACACACTGAATAATGTAGCCTCCGGCTTCTTTTCAGGTGCAGTGTGGAATTATCTATGCTCTGCAGTCTTGGGTGTGTGTTTTTTTTAATCATTCGTGACAATTCCCATCTGCTTATCTAATAACGCCCCTCTAACAATTAGGGCCCTCTTCCTTCTGCAGCATGGGCCAAATCAGTGCAGCATAAGCAAGCAGTAGAATTGAAAACCCAACAGCTGCCTTCCATCAGCTCCCTGCGCAGAGACATGTTTGCCACGGTGCAAGTGCTTTTTTGTAGTTTAGTCCGAGCACCAAGAGATAGCAAGCCCATTTATAAAAAGCAGCTCAGCTGAAGCTGCAGCTATAAATAGAGCAGCAAGAAATCATTCGCCAGAAATCTCAACTAAGCTAGGCAAGAGCTCTGAAGTCAGATCTGAAATGTTTATCTCCAGATTTCCTTTTACTGTTCACACGTAGCTCATATTGATTAACATTTAAGATGGCATTAATTGGATTGCGCTATCTGGGTGCAATTCAGATTGTCAAAAATACTGCTGGATGCTTGTTACAGTTTTGTCCTAAACCACCCATTTGAAATCACCTAAAATGATGGTTTTCAGTTAATTTTTCCTGCCCTATGAAGGTATAAATCCCTTTAGAATTACTTGAATTTTACAAAGCCTTTTCTTCCTGGTCACCTTTTGCAGAGTGCCCAGAAGCAGGATATAAGTGCCCAGGGGGTTTTGTTCCAGTTATAACCGGACTTAGCTCATAATGCTGCTACTATGCTACTGTTCAGCGTATGTTCCTGTTACAGGTTAGCACTGGAGGTCAGTATGTTCCTTTCAGAATTTAAATACCAACATGTAAACAATTGCGAGAGGACGATGGAGAAATTTTAATCTATTTGGTCAGAAGTAAGCATTCAAATACAGCTAAGCTCAGAGACCAAAGTGTTAAAAGTTGCTTTGAATTCAGTGTTCAGAAGTTCAATTGCCTGTCTTTTTAGGGATTAGCAATATGCCCCTCAGGTTCCACTGCTAAGGTTCCTGAATTTCAAATATGTTGTTATGTACTTTTGTAGTCATAAAGGCGACTCAGAGGCAGGGTCACTGTTCTGAAATGTCAAACTGGCGTATGGAATAACTGCAAGAAAATTCCTAAAAGGAATTTGTGAAGCAAATGGTAATGTGGGGGTGGGGAGGGTGGGGTGTGGGGAATGGGACGGAATCAACAACAGGGGGGTGGAGATGGGACAGGCGCAAGATGACAGATGACATAACTGGACAGGTCACTGATACGCAGAAAAACCACGGTAGCTGTTTTCTTTCTACAAGCTGACGTACCTGTTTCAAACTCGTGTCACTTAGAGCTGAGATGGCTAGCCTCAGATTAAGGCTGAGCAATTCATCTCCTGTCCTTGCTGTTTGACCTCAACATGTATCAGATTGCTGCATGTTCCTGACCCTCAGCTAATCCATGAAGGAGAGAGAGACTTTGCCAACCAATGCTGCATCCGACGGCCCTAGAAAAGGAGGGTGAAACAAAAATGGCTCAAAAACTCAGTCCCCTTCCCACTACCATAGCTTTGGCCCAAGCCAGTCATTTCACACAAGTGCTTGTTTCTTCCAGACCCTAAATTAGTGACAGGCTGCCCGTCTCAAACAGGAAGGCTCTTCAGAGGTTTTCTGAAGGAGGCGGAGACAATGGTACATCACCTGCAGAAGTCATCATACCTTTTGCAATCTTCAGGGCAGGGGGGGTTTAGTTCATGAGCTGCTTGGGAATTTTTTTAATTTTCCCTGAATACATCTGTGGTTTCAAATAATTCTTTACACAATTACAATGACTGAGCCTTGGTCTGCAGATTGGAAACATTTCCTGGGTGGCCTGTGACTACAATTTCAACTGCTTGACTGGAGAATTAGGCTTTTCAAGTAATTATTATCATTTTTATTTTAATAATTTGAAAACAATTATAAAATAATAACTGGATAACTGATATAACTTCAGTTATTATTTATATGCTGTCTGATATCTGCTGAATGGATATTCCAATTCACCGAGTCAGATGAATATCCTGTTTAATAACCCTCTTGGTAAGTAGAGTGATACACAATTTTATACACAAGGTGGACATTACTTTTGTAACAATTGTTTTTTGTAGCACTGTTTTGGAATGCAAACATGAAAATTTCTAGTCCAGGAATGTCAATCTTTCAAAATACTTCACGTGCATTTTTTCCTGTCAAAACTCAGATTTTCCTGAAGAGCATCTTAATGGCTACAAATATATTTGAAAAATACCCCCATCAAAATATTTCAAACAATTCTTGGCAGAATCTTTGTTTTGAACAGTGGCATCCTACAACATAAAGGGGTTCATACCTTCATAATTGCAAACAGGATTAAAATACACTTATCTTGCATTTTGACATATTAAAAACTAAATTGACCTGAATAATTCCCCCTCCTGAATTTGAAAATGTTTAAAATTAATACGTGGCAAACTTGAGGGTGAACCAGATACAACTGATATATACACCACTTCTGACAAATCCACACAAATTTGAAGTACTTGGAGGAACAAAAATAATCTCTTAATTACATGTTTTATTTAAGGCACATATATCTCATTCTACATTTATATCTTCTCCAGAGTCACTCCACTATTTTAGACAAGAAAGGAAAAACAAAACTGACAAGCCCTGGTCTTAAAATTGTTTGGGGTCCACTTGTAAAAAGTGTTGAAGGGTGGTGTCTAGGTCAGGTGAAGGAGAATCTGCTATCTGAAATGAAAAACTGAAGTGTCTTCATACAGAAGTACAACCAAAAGGAAAACAACATATCAAAGGACAAGGTAACCATTCCTTGTAACAGTAAACCTTCTGCTCTATAAAGCATCCTGACAACATAGCTAATTATTTGTCCTGATGTGAGGTTCTGAAAACAAAACAGGATGGACTTTCAACAGCTCTACCTTCATGTGCTCACAGCTGTCTCTTTAGAAACGAGCAGGTTGAACTCCTACCTGTGCCTCAGCAGAAAAACGAAAGGTCTGTAGATATTTTACAAAACAGAGGAATCATAAAGGAATATAAAGAGAATGAAAAATGCTTTTCACACAGCATAAATATGATGCTAATGTCTCTCTTTAGAAAAGCAGCTGAATAGCATTAATTTACAGGTAATCCCAACTACTTTTGTAGTTAACAAAAATATCTGCAAGTCTAATCTTTCTTCCTGTCCCTTGGTAGCCCTCCATAAATTGGAGCAAAGCATTGGTTTTGAAAAAGAAATCCATCAGGCTCCTCAGGTGTTCCCGTTCAGATTTCATTTTCCCAGACCACAGTGAATCACTCTTACATTGACGTTTTGGCTGCTGCCTCACGGTGTGAAATGCATTTGCATTGTACTTTTGGAAGTCACGTCCTTTGCGGTTCACTAGCATACAACTACGAACTACGGCACCAACAGGGAAGTCGCTGAACTTGAGCCTTACTGCGATGTGGAATACATGGCATCTCGAATACTGGTTTGTATGGTTCTTGTAAAGCTTTTCAAGTTACACATGGATACGTGAGCAGGGTTACTTATATCCAGTTACCAAGGCAGATGAAATTGCTGAGGGAGAGGAAGAAAGAGGATACAAGAACTCTGGGTCAATCCAGACAGGGGAAAAATAAAACAGTATAAACAGTAGATGTAAAATGCATTGGAAGACAAAAAGTATTTATTGAATACAAATAGCTTCTCAGTGCTAGAAAGGTAATAATAAGTCAGTAACTGAAGGCTGGAGGGAGGATGGTATGCACCTTTCTTTGTCTGGGCATCATGCCGCATGTATAATCAACTTTTGCCCACTTCCCTGTTCTTTAGCAGGATTTGGCTGCAAGAATCTGAATGCAACTACAAAATGAGAGAAGATCACCAGTGAAACATGAGTGGTCTGAACAAGGGCATTTTCAACATTCTCTTGGAGGGCGCGTACATATCTTTATATTTCATTGGACCAGTCAGCTCATGGCCATTCAAATGTTTTAACGTTTCATGGCTTACAGAAGTATAATATTGTTTACCTTTTGTAAAAATCATAGAAACAAGGCTATCGGGTTAGGTACAAGGTTTGCTGCTCATGCCCAAAGCGTGCAAGAATACAAATGAAAAGCAAAATCCTGAATGTACAGGTTATACCTGAAAGCTGCACATAGATACAACAGTACAACGTAATCAACTTTACATAAAGGGTTTTCATCCACAGTGAGAAATGATTGCTTTCACCTGTGATAATACCAGAATGATTTCAAGGGCCCAGAGTACATTCAAAGTCTAAGAGATTTTATAACTTTTTTTTTCCAATTGTTCCTAGCACAAATTTGTAGTAAGTGGAGAGCAGGGGTTTAGGAGAAGTCTTAAGCATAGCTAAGTGATAGCTTGTTTTAGGCAATGACTGGGACATTGTTTCTGCTGCCATGTGAGCTATTTGGAAAGCCTTCCATTCCACTGGAAAATATTTATCTTAACTTACTAATTAAAAGGAAGAAATCATAAAGGCAACAAAACATTTTTAATGAGATTTTATTGGACTGACCACCTATCTTGAGAGTTACTGATCAAAAGTCTCCAGCGCTGGGTGAGATGTCAAGTGTGTCATGTTGGACATAACTGAAACAACTTGCATTTTGATTTTAGACTAACATAAAGGCTTCAAAATTCAGACTGTCTATTTTACTGCAAATGCAGGCAATTGAAATCTACTGCCATTCCAATTTGCTAGCAGGCAGATGGCTGCTGTGAGTAAACTGTGCCACACGCAGTGAGACTGTGGCCTGATGCCATTTATTTGTGACCCACAATTCTAAGAACTCCTTCTGAAAGGACACCAATGCAATAAATGTAAATACATGTTTCATGAATGAAAAATCTGAACACTTTTTACATTTAAATAACATGCCAGAGCTAATACTGCATAAGTTGACTTCTACATTCATATGATATCAGTCAGAAAAAAAATCTTGTAATTATATGCTATTTTTTAAACAGGAGGATTTTTTAAAATTTTGGTCTTGTTAGGCTGTTATGACTAAAAGAATATGTTAATTTCAAGTACTGGTAATAGCAAAGCAAAAATTAATCTTTACATAGGGGCATAGATAGTACAATTACCTGCTTTTTCAGTCTTTCACCTGGCTCATCTGTGAAACTCTGGAAGTGTGATACTTTTCAATTTGACAGAATTTAAACTGATCTCAAATATCCACAAAATAGCATTTTTTATATCTTCTGCTTATACTCATGTCCTGATAAATTAGATTATTTAAATATCCCATGAAATCTGGCATTGTAAATGTTAAGTGAAAGGCATGCAAAGGCAAAAGAAGATGTCAAAGTGCAAACCAAACAAAAAGTTTCCTCTCTTGTACAGCTTCTCCCAGTTATTGTTTAAGCATTGCAAGCCAGTTGCAAAGTAGCGACACTGCTACTGTCTCCAGTATCCCCCACTTTGCTTGTGTTTATGGATTTGAGGTAAGTCTTCTGTATCACCCAGGGAGTAAATGACCGCAAAGTGCCTAGGATGCCACCCAAGACTGAAGACAATAGAGGTGATTCAACTTCTGAAAGGCAATAGCAAGCCTAGCAGATATTAGTCATCAAGGCTTTTGAGATAGCTGGCCATAGCCTGCCTCAGCATCTAACTGCTCAATAAAAAGCAGCAGGGGCAGCAGCAGAGGACGCGCAGGTTCAGAGCGACAGAAGCCATGGAAGGAAGCAAAACTAAAGAGACAGCAACAGTAAGACAAAGTACATATAAACTTTTAATGAATTAACCTTACAAAAGACAATAGCTTCAAAACATTTGACACGTTTGTACAAAACTATTCCAGCATTGTTAGCTCTCTCTTCAGAAAGAATGCCAGCAAGCCACCCAACGTGTCCCTGGCTATGAGATGCAACTGGTGATCACATCCAAATCATGTGTGGACCGAGTAAACTTATTTACAAATACTGTATACTTTAATACCAGATTAGTAGATGCTATTGGGGAGCGACTGTATTTTCCAGAAAACACCATGCATCAGAAAATAGTAAGCACCCCTAGCTTTATTGCCTTTTTTCCCCCTCATTTGTCACTAACATCTCTTTTCAGTCCTTTCAGGATGAGTTACCTCCTTTTAATTTCTATCCCTTCTTTTCTTGTCTTTGAATAACAGTGCAAGTTGCAGTACAATCTTCCAGTCCTATAGCGTACATCGCAACTGTCCTCGAACATAGGAATATCAAGGTGCAAAATGATGGCTCATGGGACTATTCTGCAGCCATATTAAAATAAGTGCCACATACCAGAAAATAGCACGCATGTTAAGGGCCAAAATGTAGTTAAAAAGTGCGTGATACTTTCCTGAAAATATGGTATTGATGACACATACAAGCACTCTTCAAGATGCCACGTTCCCTTGTGAAAGGGATCTTGTCATTTCGGTATGTACAAAGTATGTCTTCAGTTCTCCTTTTCCTTTTACGTTTATTATTCCTCTGCAAGTGCTCATGTACCCCAGTGTTTGCAGGACATTGTTTGTCTCCTCTGTAACCTGCAACAACACAGTAATACAACCAGCGTTGATAACAGAGCAAAGCAGAATCTTCTTCCTGAGAGTGAAGAGAACATATGTTCTGAGCAATTATAAGGGTTTTGCTGTAATGTGTATAAGGCATTTAAGGGTCTCAAGTGAGGTTTGAGAACCTGAGCTTTTGAATAGTCTGTTGCTGGATGCCCCTCCTAATCGCTTGTGTCAAGTATCAAATGGGGTATAACCATTTCCTACCCAGGATTGCAAACAGAGGGCTCACAAACAGACAAACAGCACTAGGGACAACACTCTTCCCCATACAGCATTTTTCTCAACTTTGGGAGCTGTTTTTCATTTCGGTAGGCCTAAGCTTCCCCATCTTTTTGCAAATACTAAGGCTATGTGAACGAAGTGATAGTGAGATGTTAGCATCATCTGTCAGAGCTGCTGTTGCCACTTCCTCACATAAGTGGCAAAGAACTAAACTTTTGGCCACTCTGCCATTTTAGGTGAAAGCCCACCAGGACAGAGGTTGTTCTGCAGCATCAGTTGTCTCAGACTGTGTTTCTTAGTGAAGCAAGCAATGGTTTGTAGATGTCATTGCTTTGACATCCCTTCTGTTTTCAGTTTCGACCAACAGCTGGTAACTCTACTTTTCCATTATTTAGTTCTGAATAGTCTCAATCATAGATTTGGAGTGCTCTCAATCACATGCAGGGATCCCAAAGTGCTAGGCAGCATACTAGGCAGATACCTAAGATGTGACCCCTGTATACGGTATCACTGCAAACTCAGTAAATTGAAGGTCTTTTCTATTCAGGTCTATCTATAGTCTATACAGATAATAATCTATAAAGATTATTAATAATCATGGTTCATTAAAAGGCAAATTTCATGATTGCTTTATGGATTTAACTTGATGTACAGCAGTTATGGTCACTTCCTGTATTTCAAAATAATTAACATTAGGAATGCCCTTCGGAGATAAGGTAGCTAGTTTTTTACGAGTTTAGAAATTCACAGAATACAAATGTGATTTCCCTCAAATCCTCTCTTAATAGAGGGATGCATTTCCAGGCAACCCATGACTTCCTCCACTGTATTCCTCTGTAGGGTCAAGACAAAGTTTTGATTCTCCTTCCATTTTCCCTATAGTTTCCTTTTAATTCTTTACATTTCTGCCCAAGGTGTAATTCTTTTGAAATGTACAGGTACAACTGGTAGGTAATTTTTTTTTGTAGCCATCCTTAGCTCCAAAACACAGACCTGTTTAGCATACAAATATATGGTGTTTTTTAAGCACCAAACTCAAAAGGTTAAGATAAATACTAGGATAAAACCAAGACTTACCTGTATTTTATCTAAGACACCAGTGCTGTCCATCCTGCTGGCCACATTTACTGTATTGCCCCAGATATCATATTGTGGTTTTTGAGCTCCGATTACTCCAGCTATTACAGGTCCATGGTTGATACCTGGAAAACATCAGAACTTAATATTAAAAAAGAAGATCCACCCAACAAGGACACATAGTACCTCTGGTCACATATCAAGTCAATGAACATGGTATTTGGCCTGTGCTGAATAGTGAGTACAGCAACCAGTGGCCTGTTCACAACTGTTTTATCAACCATTTACAGCAGGACGATGTTAGTTATAAAAATACCAAAAGTTAGTGTATCTGATTTTACCTTTACAACTCACTCCCATCCTGAATAAATTTGATACCTTCAACCATTAGCATCCTAATAACCTACTACTGCCTTTATTAGATAGCATGAGGAACACACTGTGGGAGAGCAGCAGCTTCTGGGGAAACAGATATACAAGGATTTCTCTTCATTTCTACTTGTAGTGAAAAGGACTTCTCTCTGAAACCATTGATGGCCAAATCAAATGACTTTTATACTATTCTTTGCTTCTTTAATGTAGAAGGAACAAATGTGAATATGCTGGAAGGGTTTGAAGCCTTGTTCTGAAGGCTGGATTGCCCACAGAATGGTCCTAAATAACTGCAATATAAATATATGTATTCAAATAATTTGATTAAGCATGGAGTAAGAGCAACAAATTGCTAGCTCTGAAATGCACACTGTAAGGGTGAAGAAAAACATAGTATAGTCCCTCCTTAGACTCTGGGCATTTTTTATCTTGCAGTGAGTTTGTATCCTATGTTATGCATGTAACGGGAGTGAGTTGTACTCTGCTACTGGGGAAGGAAACCAGGAAGCAGAATCGAAAGCACTATCGTTAACCAGCATCAAATACACTATAATTGTAACTATATATACTGATGAGCAGGAAAACCAAGTTAGACCTAGTGAGAACTAAACCCTGGACAAGTGAGTAGTTTGGACTTCTAAAATTATCTCCACAACAGTGGATCATAACTGACTTCTATTAATTCCTAGACAGAAACCATCACTAGGGATATATCTATGCAGCAAAATGAAAGTGAGATTGCAGCATTGGGAGGTATCTCAGAGCTGGCTCATCTCATACAGATCATACGTAGCATGGCACCATGGGCTAGCAACCACACTACAAGCCCACTTGGAAGCCCTGGAAAAAGTGACTATAGCAGATAAACTTAGAAAATTGAGGAAATATGCAAATCCTAAAAGATACCAGATAGAACCTGAAAAATATTTGTCTAAGTACTCGGAATTAAATGCACAAAGGGACTTAGGTCTTGCCACACTCTGCATTCTGCTTCATGATATCCAACACATAGAAAGCACAAGGGACCTAAGAGTGGAATCCACAACAGCCGTTGGCTGAGTAGCCCAAGCTGACTAGTAGGGAATACTGAAGAGATGTGTGTGGCATATGCTCTGCCACAGCCCAGAAATTAGGGCAGTGCGGTGGGACTTTTCTACAAAATACAATGGGCAGGAGGTGGGTGGTCTGTTTTGTTGGGTTTTTTTTTACCTCCTTCCTTAACCACCACTGCTGATGGTTTGAGTAACACCTCAGGGACTGGAGAGACAGCTTCAAGATTCAAGTGTACTTCTACCCATATCTCTTAGGAATGTGTTTTGGTCTCCTTCACCTGACACACGTGAATGTTTGTTGGGACAAGGCTGGAAGAGTAGCACCCTTGGTCCAGGTGAATGCTCGAACAGAGGGTGATACCATCTGTCTCCTTCTCTCATATCCAAAGAGACATTTAATTATTCCATGAAAAGGCAAACACTCTTCAGCAAATACTGTACAGCAGGACAGACAGAGAATATCTCATTGCAAAGTATCCTGCGGCCTGGGCTCATAGCATTCTCCAGGAAACAGGGATCCCCATGCTTGAGCAGCCTCAGCCAAAAGCCGGAACCAAATTAAGTCCACCTACAACACAGACAAATGTTCTAACCATGCAGCTATATGGAAAACAACCTATCAGCCTCTATTCTGCCCTGAAAAAAAAAACCAGTACCTGTGCAAAACTTGCTGCAAAAGCATATTTGAGCTTGTCTAATAAATCAAGCACCTTGGCCAACAGAAGGGGAGGAATGCTTGAAATATAATCTAGGTGATCCCCTCCCTTGCCTGACAACATCAGGGTAGGCTGCGTACCTCCTAAGGCACAACTAGCATTCCAGGCAATCACAGAAAATGAAGGTTGAAAGCTGAGACCTCTAGTGAGTTGCAACAGTTCTGGGGTTAGATGCTGGCCAAGGAAGGCTTTTACAAATGGCAGTTTGGGTTTAAAGTGGGGATTACGTCAGAGGCCGGATGCTCAAATGTTTCTGTGGCATTAATTGCTATGGATATCAGATGCTTTCATGGTCAGGTGCTGGTGGGAAGTGGAGAAGAAGTGAAGTTAAGATGGAAGTGAAGACCTCAGTGGTGCCTATATTGGATTAAGGGGGCAAAAGTGCCAGTTTGGGCCCTGTGTCCCTTTGTAGATTTAATCATTTCATGAAGCAAAGGACTCTTGACTTCTCTGGAACCTAGAGCAAACACTTTAAAAATCACAAGTATGCATCTCTTTTTCCCCTAGAAAGTTCACTTCATGATCCTCACTTTAAAGGAAACAGTATTGCTTTAATCAGTTTGTGGATTTAGCCCTGACACTCAGCAGCTCTTTATCTCTACTGACACTGCCGATATGTTTGCAAGTATGTGACATGTGTCATCTATGACAAGACGAGAACTTTTATCCTGTACAGAAATATGGTATCGTTACAGTTTTTTTTAAAAACGTGTAAGTTCTGTAATGCTTTGAGAAGGAAGCATACTTTAGATTTGTTTTGTCATTTTTTTAACTCTAGCAAGGAATACAAAACCTACTGGCAAAGGAGCACTCTCAGGAGCACACGAATATTTCAAGTCAGGCGATAGCAAGTTGTGCCAGTGGGTGGCACTGTGAAATAAACGTGAGAGGAGCAGCAGAAAGGAAAAGCAAGCAGCACAGCAAGAGAAAGACAAGACAGGAGAAGAGCTGGAAATCAAATACTTCTGACATGTTTACAGGATTTATGGGTTTCCAATATTTATTTACTGCTTTCATTTCACACTTTCCAAGTTACACATTGCATTGTAAAACTGCTATACTGTTATCAGGAAATAAACATTTTGGAACATAAGGTTCTTGACCAGCTCTGAATTCATTTAATTCATCATGCTTTCCATGGCTTACTGCAGCTGCCTATTTCTTTTTTAAAATGCCATAATGCGCAAGTAGAAGCAATGAGAAGCTGACATGTAAGCTTTCAAATATAGACAACCAGTCTGCTTTGCTCTTATTTGTCAATAACCACAGAATAATGAAGAAGACAAATATCCTTCCCTGTCTAATGCTGGGAAGGAAAGGGTGCATTTTTGTATGCTTGTCTGGGTTTAGTACATCTAAAATATTTCAGACTCCAGCCTCACTGGCCTCTTATGGCTCTTGTCCTCCAAAACCATTTATATGGTTTTGTAAAGCCCTAGAGTCTTTGTGTGTCCTTTGGCATTGATAAGCTTAAACAAATTATGCAGTTAACAACCTCTAGAATAATTATTATAGAGTTACCATAAAGCAATTCAGAGCCAGGGGGATGTATTTTTCAACCATCCTTTACTTAGGAATACTGCCCTTTTCCGAGTCCTGCCTTGAAACACTCCTTGACACAACGGCAGCTATGGTTAATGGGCAATACCACATAGGCTGCCTTTAAACAGGGTAAAGATGGTGACATTTACTTTCATGGCCCTTCTGGTCAGTTCGACTAGCACTTTAATCAGCTGGTGCTTCACACTGAATTGTCCCCCTCCCCCATGACATTCTCATAAAAATCCGGTGATACGTACCTACTCGTAACTTGAAGTCATTGAATGAATGCTTGTTTATGACATCCAGTTTTGCCACCAAGGCAAACGCGAACTCCACCATGGTTCCTATGTGCATATACTGTCGTTCAGGTTCCTGAATTATACAGCCAAACAAACAGAATAAAATAATTTTCCTTAGCCTTAGTTGCTGTGAGAATACAACCAAAATATGCTGAACACTTGAAAGCACTTAAACCCTTTGGGACCTCCTAATGCCAGCAGGCAGCAGAAGCAAAGTAATGTAGAAGATGGTGCCCTCTCCAACATCAGTTAGACTGAACAATGGCCAATAGACCAGGATGCACTTTACTTACACAATCAGGCAGAGATGATAGATCCAAAACATGTCTAATCTAATATTTTGATTGTCAAACAACTGATTAGCTGCTATCCGATCCCACAGACACTCAGTGTCTATGTGTACCTAGGATTTGGTCATTAATTTTCTCTAAGTGTCTGCTTCTATTTTACGGCCTTTAATAATAAATGATGCTTGCGGACAGCCCCACAGGGACTCCTCCCTCTCACTGTTGCACAGCTCGGCACCCCAGTTAATGCTTAAGCTCCAGTAATATTTTCATTTTTAAGAGTTTCTCCACTGATCTCATCTGGCAGATAAGCAAGCACCTCTGAGAACATCTAATAGATCTGAAAATTAATAAAATACAAGAGGAAGAGAGGAAGGCGGCAACCCATCCTCTACCCCCTAATTTAGTAGCTCAATGCTTATACCACTTATAAAGGCTATAGACTTAATGTATGCTCATACATTAACAGTGTCGTCTGATTTCTAAGTACTGGTTTGAGTCCTCTCAGGCTGAGGAGAAAATTGATTTTTGGGTTCCCGCAGCCCAGGGTAGGACCCTGACAAGAGAATGATTCTGTAAGAGGTGGACTCACTGATCTCCATGAGAAATTACTGAATCTTCCTCATTTCTTGAGATCAAGTGACAGAAGAGATGGACGGGTGACAACTTTGGGAGATAATTCATAGAGTAGATGCATCAGCCTAGGTGGGACAGTAGCGGAGCTTGCCAGAGCAGCTGTTTAGGTGAATGAAGCCCATTTCCTTTGTGGAGCTCACTCCTAGCTAGGATAGATGGTTTCCTGCTCAGTAGATGTATTCAGACCCCCTCCTTAGGCACTTGCTCTTCCATGGGTGCTTGTTTTAAGCTGGGGCTGTTCCCAGCAGCATGCCGAGCCGTCAGGCACTGCCACATGGATCTTTGGGCATTGGGAGTGAAGGCTGCTGATTTTTGGTGGATTTCTTCTGAAAATGTGTACTAAATCACCAAAGGAAGACTAAAACTTGGATCTCTTGATTCACAGTTTGTGGAAATAACTGAAATGATAAATTTTCTCCTGTGCACACACTAGGTTTAGTTGTGATTGAGAGCTCCTCTATATCTTCTCATCCCCAGTCTACAGTTCTGCATTTCCTCCATCCCCTTCACCTCCGTGTATTAAATGTCAGAGCTAATTTAAAATAATTCTTTTATTTTTGCCCTCAGGATCCTTAGGGTCTATAGTTCAGGCGTTAATTGCTTCTGTCTAGAAGGAACATGAGTTTGGCAAGAGCTCATTAATCCTTAGCAGAGAATGTGTTGATTCATAATTGCTGTCTCTGTTGCTAACCTGCAGTACTTTAAAGATCATGGCAAAAGCAAGGTTTTTGCTTAAAAGTTATGAATTGCTCCTCTGAACTTCATTTCTACTGACTGCACTTCCCAATCCTACCCTATTAACTAAACCAGAAACCAAGGAACATGTTCTCAATGCTGAGCCTGAGGGTTCTGTAAGTGTATGGTTAACATGGCTACTCAGCCCTCCCAGCTTACAATGGAAAACACTCATTCTTTCAGTCTTTTGTACACTCTATAAATCCAGTTCTGCTGCAGCATGTAGGAATAAAATGCCATATTGTATTTAGAGCAGAAGGCCTGTTTTAGACTTAGCAAGTACAGAGGTGGCATTTTCAAAGCGCAATGTGAAGAACAATAATTCACAGAGACTACTAAACAAAAGTATACACTTGTCTAGTACAATACAATCTATGTTAATAAGAAAAAAAAACCTAGGCCACAACATTATACATAGCCTGCAGTTTAATGAACAGAATTTTAGCCTTCATTTGAACATTTCTTTTTATCAAGCAGGAACGTTTTCCTGTACCTGACACTGTTCTTGGTTGGGCGTAGCACTCAGTCCTGTTGCTGCCATGTAAGTGCTTCCAATGGTCTTTATCTTTTCAACTCCGCTGAACTTTGGCTTTGACAGTAACTGTAAACCAAGGATGGTTATTCATTATTCAGATCAGCAACCTTGTTACTCTAACAGCATTGTTGCATTAACAGCATTCAAAGCATCAGTTCTTAGAACAGTCTCTTAATAGACCCCAAATGGCTTCACAAATACAGGATGAAGGACTTAAGGATGGATAAAACAATGGTTACAGACCCCAAGGAAAAGGAATTTCTGTCTGCTAAGATATCTTTTTTATTATAAAAGGACTAAATTTATAGTAATGAGAATAAATTCCACCTTATTTTACATACAGGTCTTAAAAGTCAGTAGACTTTGCACTCATTTGATGCTGGACCTGAGTCATCATGTGAGCCAACAGTTAAGTTTTAAGCAGCTTTCTGAAAGTAAGCATTTCTTCCATGCCAGTGGGTGGTCCATGCCAATGGGACTAAAATCCAAGGATTTTAGTTCATATCCCAGGTTTTTTTGAACATTCCAGTGTTCTCCAAATCGGTTTGCTGCTAAAATACCCTCTAGAGCTGCAGATCCACAAACTCAGACTGTGCTCTCTGAGTCATGACGTGATCTTAACTCCTTTTTCTGGTATCTTCATCACTAATAAACTTATTTAAGACAAATACTCTTCTCGGTGAGACCTTTACAGCTGCCTTTTCACAATCCATCTGTAGTCTGTACTTGCTTGTAACTTCAGAGAATGGAATATTATAACTTATACAATCCTTTGAGTTGCTCATGTATCAACTGATCAACGCTCTGTATAATGAGAGCAACACAGGTCAGGTATAACACAAAGCTATATCATTTCAGGGTACATAGATTTACGTACCTGACTTTAGGAACTAGTATTTACAAACTGTAGTTAATATATGGCATGTAATATGACTGCCTCATGAGCTGCAGCTAAAGGGCAAAAATTTCTCCATCAGATATACACATAGGATTCTCATTATAGCGAAACAAAAACAATTGAATATCATGTCAGATCAATATCTGATTTATCTCACATAAATCTCTTTTTCCTTTAATACTCCCTTTAAGTAATTTCCAAGTGACTAGGCAAGTAACAGTTCTTTTCTGACAGCTCTTCCACTCTCCCTTTCAAGTATGTTTGCTTACTGTTGCATACCCTGGGTTATTAAGATTGAAACCATATGTTGATTGTTGTTAGAAGTACATACATCATCGAAGTCAGCAATGATCTCATTTAGCAGCCTGAGACATTCCAAGCCTTCCTTATTAACATCAGATTCTGTGTAAAATTCCTTGAAATCCGGAACAGAGGCAAACATGACACAGACACAGTCATATGACTGATGATATAGATCCTGTCCAAAAGAAAACAGAATAGAGAAAAAAGAATCTGTTATACCCAGCTCTAAATAAAAGCTTCCTTATTAATACACAGTGTCCTGGTTCTGAAAAGGGAGGTGTTGCAGTGGTTGGAATGCCTTAAGATGGTGGTTTGGTATTTTTTGCATTTAGTTGCATTTATTAATTTTAAATGTTGTATATACCTGTTTGTTGAAGGGCCTCAACATACACAGCTGAAAATATTTTAGTGCTTTGAAGTTAGCTTTTTTCCCTCCTGGCCATTAACTCCGTGAACATAAAAAGTTCACTGATTTATTAGATAGGGACCATTTCTGAGGCTTCTCATGAAGAGAATTTGGCCTGGCTTGCACGGCTGAAACTGTATTTTGCAAAATAATCTCTAATTTATTATTAGCTGTTTGTGTTATTGTAATAACTAGAAAACTGAACCAAAATCACAAACCCGATGCACTACAAATGCATAATGCAACACAATCCTGATAGTTCTTAACCTAAAATGACAAGATGCCTAGTAGGACAAAATAATTGTCATTTCTTTCCCATAACAAGGAGCTGAGCCAAAGGGAAAGAACTCAACTGAACTAAAACTTATTTATGTCAGATTCTCCACTGCCTTCTGTGACCACTGAATTGAGAGCACCTCTGCTCCACAGGAAGATTCTGGTACTAAAAAAGACCAACCACACCCGCCCCTGCCTTCAGTTTCCTTTCCACTACCCTTAAAAGTTAGGATATCTCTTCTTTCAGGATAAATTCACATCCTGAAAAAAAAAAAAGGAATGAAAGAATATTTATTGAACTAATACTTTAAAAGAATAACAATATCTGTGCACAAAGGTAACCACAGCAATAAAAGATGCTGTAAGCTACTATAAAATCAAATTCTCTTCAAGTTATTATTTGAGTAAAACAAGGTTTTCAATACTCATATGAATAAGGTGAATAGGATTTGTTCTGTGATTTCAAGAAGCATCAAATATTATTTCCCCTTTTAGTTATTAAAGCTTTTTTTTCAATTTTACTGGCAGTACTTTTTTTTTGAAAGAATGTGGTGTATCTCTACAGAGAAGTGTACAGACATAGTGAATCTCTGTTGGTGATGTATAACTGAAAAATAGCAGAACTATGGGGAAACTGTTGACTGCCTCATTCCAGACCAAGTGTGAGGGAAGTTTCCGGGCAATCATGAAAATAACAGTGGACAGGGAGGAACATGAAACTGATGGACAAAAAGCTGGACATGAGCTGGCAATGTGCACTGGCAGCCCAGAAGGCCAACTGTACCCTGGGCTGGATCAAGAGAAGTGTGGCCAGCAGGTTGAGGGAGGTGGTTCTGCCCCTCTACTCTGCTCTGGAGAGACCTCACCTGGAGCCCTGCGTCCAGCTCTGGAGCCCTCAGCACAAGAAGGACATGGACCTGTTGGAGCGGGTCCAGAGGAGGGCTACAAAAATGATCCAAGGGCTGGAGCACCTCTCTTATGAGGACAGGCTGAGAGAGTTGGGCTTGTTCAGCCTGGAGAAGAGAAGGCTGCGGGGAGACCTGATTGCGGCCTTTCAGTACTTAAAGGGGGCCTATAGGAAAGATGGGGAAAATCTTTTTAGTAGGGCCAGCTGTGCCAGGACAAGGGGTAATGGCTATAAACTGAAGCAGAGTAGGTTTCAACTGGATATAAGGAAGAAATTCTTTACAGTGAGGGTGGTGACGCACTGGAACAGGTTGCCCAGAGAGGCAGTGGAGGCCCCATCCCTGGAAACATTCAAGGCCAGGTTGGACAGGGCTCTGAGCAACCTGATCTGGTTAGCAGTGTCCCTGCTCACTGCAGGGGGGTTGGGCTAGAGGGCCTCTAGGGGTCCCTTCCAAACCCAAAACATTCTATGATTCTATGATTCTATGATGGGCAGCTGGAGAAGGTAGATGATTTATTACTAGATTTTTCTGCCCCTTTATTTTCTAAGGATTCCATAACCAGAGCTTCACTGAAGCTCCACCATGCCTCTGTGCAATGGGGATGGAATATATCATTGCAGTTCACCATTATTATTTATATTCTCAAAGCTGAGCCAGTTGAAATCGCCCAGCTATATCTGACATCCAGCTTACAGCCTTATATACAAAATTAGTATCTCTTTAAAGTTACCTGACTGTGCAATTGAAAAGCAACTAAACAAAACAACCAAGCTGATGGGTTAGTTGCACTAACTTGTGCAGTCAGTTCGCTGTCATATCACTACTAAACTTCAAAGGAGTTCTGGATCTCCATTGTCCTCTTGCCAAGAGAGTTTTTCATGAAGAACCAATATTGTGATAATATTTTTCTGCCATCAATTTTATCCATCTCCAAAAACATGAGGGGAACCCCTCTGGCTGGATGTCAACTGAATTTAGGCAACTTAAGCACCTGACTGAAGTATTTAATTTGAGAGCACAGTCATCCTATGTGTCCTGTATTGTCAGTACAGCAGATGTGCCTATCTGGAAGGTCATTTTAATGCCAGATGGGCAGAATCACCTCAGTGTTTCTCCTTCTCAGTCAGTTGTGGAAAAAAGGGTAAAGAGGTAATTTTTCCTAATGTAGGCACTCAAGAGGAGTGCCTGAAACTATGCAGGATGACTCTAAGAAATTCAGAAGCTCAGGCCCCAAATGACCTCTCTCTGCTCCAGCCTCTCACACTTAAAACCAGGTCCACTCTGTAACGCTGCAGCGACATACACTGGCGTCTAGCTTGAGCAAGTGCCCACCTAGACTCAGTGCAGATATCCTCAAATTAGCTAGAAATCAGTTAAGTGGAGCAGTAGAAGAAGATTAACAGGTTCATTCCTCAAATGTTTAGCTTCTGCAGTCTTCATTTTGCTTCACATCTACCTACTTCAAATTTACCTCAAGCATGTCTACGCTGAAGCTACAATAACATTTGCATATAAATATACTAAAAAGTTAAGATCTGACGTGCTGAGTGCTTTTCATAGGCAAGTTAGCAGAATAGGAATTACAGTCTGTGGTTAACTCAGCTTTCCTTCTGTTTCCTCAAGTCATGCTCCCTGTAACTTGTTTTCAATTTTGCACGAAGGAATTCAGGCCACACACATGGTGCTGGGTATTAATAGAGGGCTGCATCAAAAATATATAGGGCCTTGGTAATACAGAAGGGGAAATTCACAGTGCTATATAAAAGGCTGGAGGGGGATACAAGAGTATTTATAGCAGAATGTAGATAATCATTACTCAAAACACGGATTACTACACATAGTTTTGAAACTTGACCTGACAAAATAAACAAGTTGTATACATTTGTGATCAAATACTTAAAATAAAAATTTTTTGTCCATGTTCCTACCAGCTTGAAAAATCCAGTAAGTTAAATCCAGCCAAAATAATAGTACAGTTAAAATTAATATTAATACACAATTCTATTTTCCTAGGGATTCTGTTAATTAGTAAAAATAAAATTGTTTTAATTTACCAGATTAGCATTAGATACCAGCTGTTTTATTTGCTTTACTGAATCCTGCTGATTTTTCATCCTGAGAATGTGAAATGTGCCAGAATTATGATACTGATGAGATACTAGTTGTAAAGTTTGTGAAACAGACAAAATCTAGGCACAGAGATGATACTGGGATGGTGCCATATCTGAAATAGCACATGGAAACTAACACCATGTAAAGGTTTATTTGAGAATGGAACTTCAAGTTATAAGAATACAGATCTGTTAGGAGCTACAACTGAACCCTTACAGGAAAAGGAGGCCAGCTATGTAGTGCTTCAGGCATATAGTATTACTGAATAATATGAAGCAGAGGTGGTAGAAGATGGAAGTGTGTATGTCATTGCTACTCAACAACATGAAAGCCAAGAGCTTAGGGGGTTAAACCCCTGCATGCTTCTGTGAATACTAGAAAAATGCATAACTAGGAAGTGTATAAAAAGCATTTGCAGAAGCAAAATATGCCCTTACATTTATGGGTAAAAGCAGAAGGGCTTTTACATCAATTTCAAATGAATTTCAAATAATAATCACATTAATCTTCAGCTGTTCCTCGAACTTTTGCTGAAGTATCTAACACTGGACACTGCCTGAGCCCTGCAGTTGGCTGGACTGCTGATGGGTGGCAACTCCTGTCTTGCTACGACTGCCACTGAAAAAAACGTCTGCCTTACAGACATTAAACATGAAGCCCTAATTAGCTAGCATGAATGGCCTTTGCTGTCTTCCCTGAAAGTAGAAGTGTTGCCCAGAATAAATCATGGCAACTTGCACAATGCAGTCATCAGGAAGAGAAATATGACTAAGCAAAAAAACAGGAGCAGAGATTTAAATAAAAGTGCTGTTGTGACACAGGAAGATCCATGTGCTTTATGCTCTTGGCTGTCCACCCAATAGGGGGACAATCAACCTGTAAGAAAGGGTTGCGTGCCTGACTGTTACAATTACAGACATAAATCTTCTTTTTCTATAACCACAGTTATCAGTCTTTCCCCTCCTCCACCTCAAAAATAGATGAACACATTGTATGTGAACACTTGCCATATGCTGAAGCTCAGCAACAGTGTCCCGTTTCTCTTCCTTCTCCTCTGATACTGGGGCAATATCCATTCCCAGTAATGCTCTATAGCGTAGCACCAGCATGGGAACAACAACAAACGGCTCTGTTTATAATCAGATGAGTAGTAATTGTGGCTGTCACAATAAATGTCAGAGAATTTTAAGGAGGCACTCCCAGCTAGTTTATTTTGATCATTCATAATAATAAAGGCTGTAGCAATTGGGTGTCTTAATTTTCCTATAAGTACATCTCTTGAAACAGTATGCTCCAAAATGTTTAATCAGAAAATTAAATGCAACACCATTCCAGCAATGAATGGCTTTGCTTCTTTCAACAACAACAACAAAAAATATCCTGTCTTCTGCAGTCAATCCCCCCCCCCTCCTTTTTTTTTTCTTTTTTTTCCCTTTGATAAAATCTGAATTTCTGCTTGTTGCCTCTTCCTCTCCAGTGCCTGGAGACCTTCTTGGGATGGGTCTTGGAAGGGTACGGTGGTCAGCTTCTCTGGGGCAGAATTTCTGCTCTTAGTAGGGTGCTGGCTCCATCCTGCAGCTAATGAAACAGGATTCCTCTTGCTCAGTAATGTGCTTGCCAGTTAGCTTGCAGCACAAAAAGCTCCTGAGCACTTTTTACTAATAGGGGATCTGGATGCTAACAGCATAAAGAAAAAGACTGCACAAGCCAGGTGCAGATATATTTAATCCTGGCCCCGTTTCCTGCTTTTCATTTTATATTTATTCCTGTCTTTCTCTCTCTCAACTAGAAAGTACCCTGTTTGGAACCCAGCATGCAGACTATAAGCAGAAACCCAGTTCCAGGGGTTCTGGTAAGGCAAACAAAGCCTTATTACAGTTTGCTCTGAAGTAACTTTGCTTTTACCATATCAGCATTAGTCAATGTGTATCCTGTTATGAAAAGACCTTTGTTGGTCATCTAAAAGTACAGTCCCACTACTCCCAGTCAGCATTCTGTTCTTCAGCAGCATACTTTGTCATCCCTTTTCTCCACACAGCTGCATGCATGAAATTCTACGAGAAGCAGTACTTTGAAACAGACTATTAATCCATTAATTTTCACCTCAAAATCTGTTTTAAACAAAAAAGAATATGCATAAAACCATATTAACATGAAGGTTTGCAACTAAGGAAAATGCAGACAAATTTCAATTCAGTATCTGTTTACCTAAATAGCCACAGAAAGAAGACAAAGGCTTGATCTGTCCTAACACATTCTTAGGTGTATATACATAGACACATACAGAATGTCCTTTAAGGCTCAATACATCCTTGCTGACACTGAAACACATCTGAAGATATGACAGAGGCTTACATTCCTGAACATTTCCAGGGATTTGAAAGGTTCTTCCCTCTTTTAAAACTGTGTTTAAAGATAAACAAAACAAGAAACAACTCAAGATTTAGTTGGTTTTTTTTAAAGGGATGCCACTAAATTTATGTTAAACCATTTTTACTTTGGCTGACATGGTAGATAGGAGAGCTCAGCACATTACAATTTCTGATCTTCACTAAATTTACTAAAGCTCAATCCAGCCTACGAATCTTGAGGGGTGACAGTATAAATCCAGTTGCCAATACAAAGGTGAGCAGATGGTGTTGCTCTGCGGGGGAGCTGAGGTGGAATAGCACATAAATGAGAAAGCAATCTCCTGATGGTTTGCTGTGTTTAATGCCTGAACTGAGAACTGGAGCTAAGCCAACCTGGCTTCCAGCCAAGGTCTTCACTGGATTCAAAGGAACCCCACAGCAGTTTGCACTTGACATTAGCTACCAAATGGATATTTGCAGGTAGTACTAAAATACTGATATAAATCACTGATTCGTACTGCTTAATGCAAACCACAGTGAAAGGGAAAACGTTGTCCTTTTTGGCTCAGGAGATCAAAAATGAATCCCTAAAGCTGCCCTCTCCCCTCTTTGGTCAGTTTTTGAACAATTCTTTGGTATGCACAAGTAATTAAAACTGTTGCATTTAAGATCTCTAGAACTGCTACTCTCTCTAAATGCTTTTATTTTTTTCATTGTTTTTTGCTTTATTAAAACTGTAAAGCAATATTAGGAATAGATCTAATTTCCACCATAGTCAACAGGGGTCTTTTGGTTGACTTTTCTGGTGCTTGGATTAGGTCCATAAGCAGCAAGTAAACAGGTAATTCAGTGTTCAGAACCTCTTTCCAGAATTAACATAGCCGCTGTTTCAGGGAAAAGGTTAATTTTCACTCCAGTAAACAAGGTCCCCAGAAGAAAATTCAGAACCTGGATGCAGCTCCACTCTGATCATAAAGAAAAAAAGTATCTGAATGCATATGATTTAAATTTAAATCCATGTTGATTCAGCCATCCCCTTCTTCCTCCTCATCCTTTCTTCCCCTCCTTCAAAAGGCAAAATGCATTGCCACTTAAGATAATTTCACATTTTTTACTTCAGGGTACTAAGGTGCATTCAGCGCTGCAAAGCAAGCCTTTCAGGTAGGTAAGGGAGAACGAAAGTAACTGTAAACCTATAATCTCATTGTATGGCTCTACTGTTCACATCAGCATTAAGTGGTATTTCCAGGATACACTGCTTTCTTAAAGAGCAGAGGATATACAGAGATGGCTGACCTCATTCTTCAGGTTTCTTGCCAAGAAGTGTTCAGCTACGTGGGCTGGAAGCACATTCTCCAGAAGCACCCGATTCAGATTCTCCATGGTTTCAATCTCTTCCCGCTCTTTTTTGAACTTGTTCTTCCACAGGAAGTCTAACCTACAGTAATATTCATTCTGTTACAAGAGGACACAGAGGTAAAGAAACAATAGGCATCTTGTCCTGCTGGAGTACAGGTTTCAGAGACAAAATAATCACAGTACATCACCCTTACAAGGCTATTATTTGGCCACTCAAGTATGATTCCGGATCCCACAGAAATCAACCCCCAAGCACGCACTATGTGACATATATTTCATCAAACTTATAAGGCGCCCCCAACAAAAAGTCCTAGGAAAAAAATGAAGTTGCAAGGTGCCTCAAATAATGGAAGTTTTATTTATTTACCCTCAGGCATTGGTAAAAATTCATTCCAGAAATCACACACTGTTATGGAAACAATTTACAGTTTTGCAACTTAATATGATGTCTTATTTATTTGAAGTGTAGCATTTCACTTAGAATAATGGGCATTTCAGGAAAATCCTAACTTTTACGAGCTTGCATGCAATAAGCCTGGTAAAAAGTGGGAAGTACAAGAAAAAACAGCCTATTGATATAATATGCCTTCAGTTTATCAAATTGTTATCAGTCAGTTGGGCCAACCCAGTTTTCATTTTGTTGGGGCTTTTTTTGTTTTGTCTTTGGTTTTTTTTTACACTGCTTGCTATAATACTTTATCCTTCTTTTCTTTTTGTCCTGGAGTTTTCATAATTGGTTTTTAACATCCCCAATAACAATAACTGGAACTATAAGGAAATGTGTAATATTCTTGGAATATCAGTATTTTTTGAGATCTGATTTCATTACAAAGATGTTGAAAAATGAATAAAAATGCATTTTTGTGTGGAGCGCTCTCAACTTCTTTTCAATACTATCAAGGTTTTGTTGTAAATTCTATGGCATTGCTTCTACAGTAAAGCCTCCACTGGCCTGGCTATCACATCTGAGCTGATATAAATCAAAAGCTATTTCAATGTAGTCCAATGGTTTAACGCTATCAGGCAGCCTTACTGAAGACTATGTTACTAACCAGGAGAACATCATTATGATGATAATCTTGTTATAGGAAAAGCTAAAAATGCTTGCTAGTTTTATTAGCAGTCAGTAAGCATTCACATGCAAATGGGAGCAGTCCTTCTGATTGGACAGTGGCTGTCACAGCTCAAAATGATTCATATTTTGTTGAGGTTACAGCCAAAGCTAGAGCAGAAAGTTGAAATGAGGTGGTATTAAAATTATTTGGCAAGCTTTTAAATATGTGTATTATTTATTTGTACCTCTAAGTTCCGCACATAGATGATAAAATCAAATGCCATGAACTGTATTCATGCAGAAAAAAATCCAACAAAAACCTGGGATGTCAAAATTATTTGCATAAATTGACAGAAGTAAACTGTATGACTTGCATAAAACTAAAATTAGGTATCCATACATTCTACCAACTTTGTACTGAAAAGAAATGGTGCTAGATAAGCTGAAATCTTCAAGAAAATATGTTTCTTCTTTAAGAGCTAATATTAAACAGCAAATTTATTTACTGCTTTACTTTTTATTCAGTATAAAATTGAATTGAAACTTAGGCTGCCACAAAAAATGGCAGAGAAATCAGAAATCAGAAAAAATAAAGCAGAATGTATTCTATAATTTGCTTTGAAATTAAAAAAGTCCACGTATCATATTTCAAAATGCCTATTCGGACTTTTGAAAACAAAAAAGCCCTACCTTATTAAAACTTCCTTTAAACTGTGGAGGTTTTTTGTTTGTATGATCTATCCAATGTAGTACATGTCATTAAAGATCCTGTTCAATCTTTGTAGCCTTGCAGTCATTTGAAAACCAAGATTGTTTCCTGCTTTATATGTTATCTCCAGAACTTTTTCAACATATCAGAATGAAAATATCTCAGAATGGCCCTTATACATCTTCAGGCACAATATCCTTGAGATACAAAATTTTCCTTCTTCACCTTATGCTGCTTTACTTGACAGCACCTTCCAGCAGGTGAGCCTAGTGAAATGCCCAGGGAGGCATGAGGGACACAGTGTTCCTCTGGGCACCACAGAGCAATTGGCTTCCTTCAGGACATGAGACTACCATGCATCTGCAATGCAATGCAATCCCAGAAGTTCAAACCAGTAGTAACTTCTTGGGCAAAAGCAAGCATTTGTATTTTTAAATTCTAGTGGGACACTCACCTGGGTCTATTTTCAATATTTGCCTTAGTGAGGCAATGAACTAATTCTCCTCACTGAAAGAATGTTACGTAGAAAGTCAAGATAAGCAGCTCAAGAGTAGCTGCCTATGCCATAGGTGTCTACAGTCAAGGGAGGTGACTGCTATGGCATTCAGCAAAGGGGCAGCAAAGGCAGCACTAAAGCAGGCAAGATCGCCAGAAATTAAACCTGCGTTTTCATTCAGGTGAGGGAGTTAAGGAGATTCCACCCCACAGCCATAACTCACAGTCAGCAAGTCTGAGAAACTGTCTCAACATGGAGTGTCAGCATAAGATGTCTCAGAACACATTAAGTCGAACAAGAAGTCATCAGCTCTAAAGTAACCAAAATGAAAAGCTGCTGGTCTGAAACTTGTGGTGGATAGCCTAATCATTCAAAACAGCCACAGCGTCAGAGAACTGACAAATGGTAGGATATAATGCAAAACTTTGAAAAAGAACTGGGGTGACCCTGGGAACAATAAAGCAAAGTACTTTGGAGAAAAACTATGCTAAGGAAAAGAGCTATTTAGACGTACTAGCTAAAGCTGATACAATGGGGAAGAGTTGACACCTCTTCTGTAAATGTACCTCCATCTGTTACAAAGAAGTCAATGAGCATGTGAATAGGAGTGAAGTTTGAAATAAGTTTTAATTAAATTTTTTCAGAAGAGGCTCTTGAAAACACTGTATTATCTGAGAAGGATCCTCTCACAGAATAAAAGCTCACTAAAAAAACAGAACAGAGACTACAAATAAACAGTTGAGGGAAGTTGCCATAAACATCTGGGCAGTAAAACAGCCAATGAAGTTTAGTGTCGATAAAGACAATATAATCAATCATGGGAAAAACAAAATATTCACCTAGCCTTCAGAGTAATGGAATATGTGTAATTTTAGGTACTGATGAGAAAGGAATTCACAGGCTATGTCAATACTGGTAATTCAAACTGCGCTGTAAGAGAGATTTAATGCTCAATAGTGTTTAAATATGAGCACACTCCTTACACAGCCTAGCCCATACCAAACTGCGTTCTCCCGGGCAATGTCTGGGCAGGGTGCAAGAGTTGCCATTCTCAACATACTGTCTGCCTGCTGCCAGCCTATTTTCAAATAACTAATGGCATGCGTGCAGAATGAAACGCACCACTTGATCACAGTGCCAGGGAAAGGTTGTAGCCTACACTGGCATGGCCATCAAAAAAAAGCAGTTCTACTTTCTCCACCTCACATCTGGCTGTTCACTCCCATCCTATGCTCATTCTTCTGGCACAAGCATTGCTGCAGCCACACCATAAAACCAGATCAGGAAAAAGATCTGGCTGAAAACCAACCATTTTTCCAGGGTTAATTTTTAAGCCAGATCAATTCCCTATTTTGGGCCACTCTACAGCTCCACAGGCAGCTGTGCCAGTACAAATGAGGAGATACAAGGATAAGAATGAGTAGCTGAGGGAAGGCCTACTTCTTTCAGTTAAAATTATTAGTTGAACCTAAGAATTGAGTTGGCTTATATATAGTATATATATTACATAATGTGATGATACACTAGCTCTCCCTCCCTTCACCCCCATTCAACCAAAGACACACATTCCCCCTCTTGCTTTTGCATCAGGACAGGCATCTCTCTGACCAGTGGTGAGCAGGTTCATAGAGCTAGGCTTGTAGGAAAGCATTCACTTTTTATTTAAATGAACTTTCTGGTTACTCACTCTGGGGACAGAGACGCACCAATGCCAGCCTAAGGAAAATGGAAAGACCACCCTTCTCATCAGTGGCTATTATCTTTAGCATTGTTAAAATAATCAGATATTAAGAGAAGAATAAAGACATTATTGTCTGCAAAGTAGAAAAATGCGTTAGCAAACAGAGAAATTACGTGTATATTACCCTTGTGGAAGAAGCGTAAGAAAGAATTTTACTTTGCCTACACTGCCAAGATGGCTCAACAGCATTCTGCAGGCGCCACTCAATGAAAGTAGCAAGCAGAAAGTTTAAAAGCAAACAAGAAGACAGACATTTTCACATGACTTTTTAACAAATTGTGAAATTCATTATCAGACAGTGTTGGGAAGACTAGGAAGATAAAATGGGTTAAAAAGGGATCAGACAGTGTAACAGGAAGCAGAGCAATCAATTGCTATTAAACATTGCCACAGAAATGCTGGCTGACAGACGGTGGGAAGCATATGGCCCTGGAAGGGTCACTCTACACAGCTTCACTTTCTCCCCTATTCTTTTCCCAAGCATTTGCTACCAGTCAGCATCACTAACAGTAATTTAAAATGGCAGGTCTTAGGCCAGGTATGTATTAAAATTAGTTCAAAACTTTTTCCAGTTATGATTCAGACTTTGCTTGAGATTGTTTGAAAACACAGATGTTTTTTTCTCCTTCTTCTTTATGGAAGAATAAATTAGCAGAAAAATCAAAGGTAACAGATGCCACAAACAAGTGGCATCATGACAAAGGTCCTGGACCTACAGCTCTGCAAACAAAGAATTTTTCCATTACAGGATCATTTTTCAGTTGGTGTGACAAGGAACAACACACACACATTGTTGTATGCAAAACAAACTTTCTTGTTGACGTGACTGAACCCACAAAGGAATACTCTCCTTGCCCAGTGAAGATGACATTCCTTCTCTCCCTTTTTCAATGGTGTTGCCCCCACTGCCTTTGTCTGACACCCTGGTTGACAGGGACTAAAGTTTCTCAACTGGTGTGATGAAGTATTTATCCCTCTTTCTGAGTGGAAGTAACGGTGCTCCAGCCCCAGTCTCTGCTACCGTCACCAAATGAGCAAACTCTAATACAGTGTTGGCAGCAAGGCACATGAAGAATGTTATTTCTAATTCAAGAAGGATGTTCCCCACTACAGCAAATACTGGAGAAGCTGCCAGATGATTTTTTTGTCTAGTAACCTGCAGGGCCTGCTTGGCAGTTTAAATGACAGTCATTATGTGTTGGGGAATTGTAATGTAAATGAGTGATTTAAAGGTGGTATGGGATAAGATTCTTCCCAAGGCTGCAGACTATGGGGGTACAGACTGTTCATGAGATGTCACATGGATTGCCTCTGCCATCTCAGAACCCTGTCTTGTGCACTGCATCCATCGTGCCTGGCACAATGGGCTGGAACTGCAGCTTTTAGCCATGGATCATGGACAGACCCGAGGACTTAGAGAGAGAACTTCCCTCACACCTGCCCTCAACTTTGTAGAGGGTAGGACCATTGACATCACGTATGTACTGAAAAAGAACAACTGGGTAATAAAAAGAGTAGCTTCCTGTTGGGTCATAGTTTTAGTGCAACTGCGGCCTCAGCATGTGGTACACTTCTGTGTGCGTGCTACATTGTTTCTGTGTCTGCATCAAATAGTAGTAATAACTGTGAAGAAAATAGCTTGTAATTAAGCAACTAGGGAGACAGCAGATGGATGCGGGCAGATGGGAGCACACTAGGAAGCTATGAGACAATATTGGTCAGCATGACAAGCAATAGTCACAGCACACTATCAGCATAATGTATACAGTCTTAATGACAGTTATTGGTGAGTTTTAAGGGCATATTGGAAGGTAATAAAGAAAATAGCTGTTTAGATGCTTCTGACGCTCCTTTGCAAGGGTGTGGGGCAGAAGGGAATAAAGGTGTTTGACAGGAAATCTAAAAAACATTTGAGAAGGTGAGAGGCTGCGTGTGGAGGTTGGCAGATGAAGAGAAGTGGGCATCTTACCTGTCTACCCAAAACCAGTAATGTGACGAAGAATATAAACAAAGAAATTGAGCCCATTGTCTTCAGGTCTTTCAGTATTCCTGGCCTATTAAAAAAAAACAAACAAAACAACATAAGTGAAGCCAGCCGCTCAAAAGTTAAAAGAAAATTACTTTAGCACAAGAATAAGACCACAATTTATACTACTTTCTGGTATGTAAAGTAAGACCATTTAAATATGATATACTTTATTATTTGGTGAAATATTATTAATTCCATTATGTAGCTCTAATTAGTTCTACTACATTCTGTGCAAATGTGCCTACATTTTGAAGTCCAGTAATAAGATGAGGATTTAGTAAAAATAATATCCTCGTTTGCTTACAAATGGAGAGCATTTGGTGCTTATTCTGTACAAGCAGATTACACAGAGATTTTTTACGTAATGACACTACTTCCACAATGGAGAGCTTGACCCTGTCCAATGAATGGGAAGAAACAGAAACTAAAGCACCTAACTCCCAAGATCCCATTTCACCTCAGAATTACAGGAGGCACAAACTACATCTTGTACAGAGTTTATTAAAAACTCTGCTTCAGGAAAAGACACTAGAGGAAATGGGCAACAGTTCACACTAGCACTCTCCTACTGATGCTGCTGAAAGAAGGAAGGACCTTGCTGAGAGATTTAGGAAGGAAAATACCAACAGACACACGGCTTGACTGGCAAAATCAAGGCTGCGAGAAGCACACGCTAAATTGAACCCATCACGTGGTTCTCCATCCCACCACAGAGATAGCCTTTCCACTAGTGCAATGGAAACATAAAGACCTGGGTTTGTTTATTTGATCTTCAGATTTAAGAGCAACGAAAACATACACCTTTTTTTTTGGTTTTTAATTCAGATTCTTTTCCATGGTTGTTTCTGTGTCCTAAAGATCTTGAGCAGTTTACAGCACAGGAAAAAGGACACTGAAACTCTACTCTGAATATTCAGTTTTTCTGTGCACTGCACACTCAGCCTACATATAAGAGAATCACCTCTTTGTTTTGAAAATGAGGTGGAAATTACATGTGTCCAAAAATTATTTTATGCAGCAATCCTCAGAGTCATAATTTTGGTCTTATCTATTATCACCTACAGCAAAGATTTCAGCAGTCTCACTGAAAATTCAACATACAAATTTGCAAGCACAGCAAAAAAAATTCCAAATTGTTGGTCTACTAATTTTTTTCAATAGCTAAGATTGCATTTGTAAAGTTTTAAGACAATGCACTGAGGAAGCTGATTTTCTTTGGCTTGCAGCAAATATGCTTCAGCAGCCTTAATTAAGTTCAGCCTTAGGCCTTAGCAATGTTAATGATGACTTCTTCCTAATGTCCTTCATTAGAAAAATGCAAATTAAACCATACTCTATCTTCTGTGGCATGTGATTTAAACACCTCACCCAGACTTACTTTATTCTCATGCTCTGAGGTGTGACATTAAATCAAATATTAACCACAGCATGACAAGGATTTTGAATTGTGACTTGTAGATTATACAGCCAAACACATAGAAAAAAAATCTGTTCTATGACATAAGAACTGCCATTAGGTAGTATTTAATTTCTGTTAATTATTTCAGAAGGACTGGAGTTATCCACCTACCTTCTAAGAGGTGCCATTGCATACATAAATTTGCTGTAGTCATCCAGCATGGGCCCATGAGTATGCAGAAGGATAACATTATAGCCCACCAATGCAATCAACATTATCACCATTTTCAACTCATAATTTATCCTCAGGAAAACAGAACAGGAAATGAGCCCTAATATGCAGCTGTATATAAAATACTGGCAAAGAAAAATGAAATGGAAAATGGTTAGAATTTGGCTCTTGAGTAGGAAATCATACATAATAAACCGCTCAGGCTAGTTTAAAAAACAAATTATTGACTGACCACTTAAGCACAGAATCTATCACAACCTGGGACATTATGGTTTACAGTCAGTCAATAACAACCAGATGCTGGTATTTCATAAAATAGACCCTTTTTCCTACTAGGCTCCAATTCACTCAAAACTCAGTAGAATCCAGATTATCCTCCTAATTTATGCTCCCTAATTTTCACCCTTTGTCACTTTTGATTTACTCATCTGCAGTAGCAAGGAATGCCTGTTCGTGGGACACCACTGCTGGCACTGAACTCTAATGCAAGACCCTACTGCCAGCAGACTGACAAAAGATTTACTGCTGTGTCACTGTATGGTTTTCACTCATGCTTGAGTTCAATAACTACCCTGTATGTATGAAAAAAAAAAATCTGAAACCCACAATTTCATTGCCTATATTTGCAGTATTTATAAATTGATGCAATACACAGTTGTTACAAACCTCACAGATACGCAATTTTACAAACTCTAGAAATAAAGCTAAGATATGAAGAATGTAAAGTTATTAACATGACCTATGCATAATGTAAATATAAAAAACCCAGTTTGTCAAATCCTCTTGAGTTATGACTACATAAGAACACATTCAATTGTTTAAAAAAAGCCTTTTCTTTCCTATTCCTATGTCATAGAGCCATAGAATCATAGAATCATTGGAAAAGATCTTAAGATCATCGAGTCCGAGTCCAACCTTTAACCTAACCCCCCACCACTAAACCATGTCCCTAAGCACCTCATCTATCCTTCTTTTAAATACCTCCAAGGATGGGGACTCTACCACCTTCCTGGGCAGCCCATTCCAGAGCCTGACAACCCTTTCGGTGAAGAAGTTTTTCCTAATGTCTAGCCTAAACCTGCCTTGGTGCAACTTCAAACCATTCCCCCTCGTCCTATCATCTGTTACCGGGGAGAAGAGGCCGACCCCCACCTCCCTACAGCCTCCTTTCAGGCAGTT